TTGATGTGTACATTTTTATTTTGGAAACAGGGCCTCTCCTTCTGTCACCTAAGCTGGAGTGCAGTGATGCAGACCTAGCACACTGGAGTCTTAGACTCCTGGGCTCAATCTATGCTCCTGCCTCAGCCTCTTGAGTAGCTGGGACTATAGGCACAAGCCACTGTGCCTGACTAATTTTTCAGTTTTTTATAGAGACAGGGTCTTGCTCTGTTGCTCAGGCTAGTTTTGAACTCCTGGCCTCAAGTGATCCTTCTACCTCAGCCTCCCAAAGTGTTGGGATTACAGGCATGAGCCACTGAGCCCGGCTATGTGTACTTTGGAAGAATGTGTATTATGCTGTTTTGGGATGGTGTGTTCTAGAGATGTCTGTTAGTTCTGTTTGGTTTTTGTTCAAATCTTCAATTTCCTTCTTGATCTTATGAATGGAAAGTTGAGTATAGAGGGGAGGGATAGCATTAGGAGATATACCTAATGTAAATGATGAGTTAATGGGTGTAGCACACCAACGTGGCACATGTATACATATGTAACAAACCTGCACGTTGTGCACATGTACCCTAGCTGTCTCTTATACACATCTAGATGTGTATAAGAGACAGATATATGTGTGTGTGTATATATATGGCAAACTGGACTTGCAGAATAGATCTTTTGGTCACTGACCCCACTCAGCTCAAATCTTTTAAAATATCCTGCTTATCTGTTGACCTTTTCCTCAAATCTTACCAAAAAAAGAAGAAAGAAAAAGAAAGAAAAGAAGGAAGGAAGAAAGGAAGGGAGGAAGCCTCGGAGGAAGGGAGGAAGGGAGGGAGGGAGGAAGGGAGGGAGGGAGGAAGGGAGAGAGGGAGGAAGGGAGAGAGGGAGGGAGGAAGAGCCTAGAAAGACTTGAAATCTTAATCAACCATTAGAGGCAGTAGAAATATTATACCCAGATATTTCTCCCCAAAAGAACATAGGACTTTTATTGGTGGTGACGTAACAACTCTACTTAGTGAAATCTGATCGAGTCCCTTAATGGTGAAATGACACCCTGGGTGGAGCCAGTTATGCTGTTTCACTTCAAGCCGTCCTCTCCACTTTCCAGACTATTCCTACGGGAGATGATTGTTAGCCTGTTTTTTTCCAATGGTTTGTTTAAAAATAAGCAAAATTTGCCTTTTCCTGAGAATTACATGGACTTCTGGAAGTACCTTTCCCACTGCTTATAAGTGGGCTCTCCTCCCTTTAACACCCACCCGCTTTTTTCATATGAACTCTTATTTTTTTTTAAACCTTAAACCTTTTCACTTACAGCTTTCAATCCTCATTTTGAACCTAATAGGAAATCTCTGTTGGGCTTCAGTACTTTCTGTATTTAACACCATGTGTTTCTTTCTAGGATTTAGATGTTATGCATGGAAAACTATGTAGCGAATGGTTTTATAAGTTCTGAAGCTAACAGAAGTTACTCTTGTATTTTCCTATATCAGAAAATAAAGATGGAGGAAGCTATGACCTACCAAAAAAAAAAATCAAATGCCCAGCTATTATTGTTTACTTGTGTATTTCTCCCTTCATTTCTTCAGCTGTTTCTTCATGTGTTTTGACGCTCTGTTGTTGGGTGCACATATGTTTATGATTGCTGTATCCTCCTGATGATTGGCCCTTTTATCATTATTCAATGTCTTTTTAATACCTAATAATATATCTTGTTTTAAAGTCTATTTTGTCTGATATTAGCACAGCCATTCCAGCTTTCTTGTGGTTTCTTGATATTTTTTCTCATGTATTTACTTTAAATATGTTTTTACCTTTGAATATTCTATAAACAGTATGTTATTGAATCTTATTATCCAATCTGACAATCTCTGCCTTTTGATTTGATTGGTTATTTCATTCATCTTTAATGTGATTATTGATAGTTAGGTTTCCATCTGTCATTTTACTTTTTGTTAGCTGTGTGTCTCGTGTTTTTGTTTCTTTCTTTATTCTTTACTGCTTTCTTTGGATTATGTGCTTATTTTCTTATATAGCGTTTTCAATTTTTAAATAATTTTTTCACTTAAAAAAACGTTTCCTTAGTGATTGTACTAGAGCTTACCATATAAATCTTAGCTCACTGGAATCAGCCTCAGATTTATATTAATTTTATCCTAGTGAATTATATAAATGTTACTTCTATATAGTTCTATTTGTTTTCTCTGTTTTTTGTGATATTATTGTTACATATGTAAGATCTGTGTATGTTACAAACCCAACATGACATAATTATTACTTCAAATAATTGTGTCTTTTAAAGAAGCTGAGAGAAGAAAGGAGATACAGTATATGTTTGTAGATTTTGTTATATTGATCTTCTGATTTATCATTTATGAATCTCTTCTTTTGTTTCTGTGGATTCAGTAACCACTTGGAGTCATTTCCTTAGCTCAGTACAGCTTTGCTTCCACCCACCTTCTTTGTTATACTGAAGTGGTCCATATTGAAAAGCATGCATCATACTTTCCTCATTTGAGTGTAATTAGTACAAAATATATTCATACCTTCTTTTCTTCTTTTAAAATAATTGTAACGGTTTTATTGAAGTGTAATTTACACGCCATACGAGTCATTAATGTTAAGTGTCCAAGTCAATTATTTTTTATAAACTTAAAAAGTTGTGTAGACATCACTACAATTTAATTTTAGAACATTTCTATCAACCCAGAAGGATCCTACCTGCCTATTTGCAATCACTCCTCATTCTCATCTTGTTCTGTTCATACAGTTTTATATAACAGTTCTTCCTATGAAAATCCTTCTGAAAGAAATAATACAATAAATATTGATAATTATATAAAGGCTTATACTTTTATGTAAAATTTTTTCTTTTTAACTTTTTTTTAAGAGTCAGGGTCTCACTCTGTCACTCAGGGTGGAGTGCAGTGGCATGATCATGGCTCATTGTGGTCTCAAAATTCGGGGCTCAGTGATCCTTCCACCTCAGCCTCCTGAAGAGCTGGGACTACAGCTGTGTGACACCACACTCGGCTGATTTTTAATTTTTGGGTAGAGATGGGGTCTCTTTGTTGCCCAGGCTGATCTCAAACTCCTGGCCTCAAGTGATCCTCCCACCTTGGGCTCTCAAAGTGCTAAGATTACAGGTGTGAGCCATTGCGCATATCCGCCTTTATATATAAATTTAAAGACATAGAAATAACCTAATACTACAAATAAGGGAAGATAAGAAAATTATCTTTATTTAATGGATTTTATGTTTATATTACGTTACACACTTTTTTAAACCTAAAAGTGTTAGATTTAATTAATTATTATATAAACGTGTTTTCTTCCTACAAACCAAAATAGGGTATGGTATATATCATGGGCTCAGAAAAACTAAGACCAATGTTTTTCCAAATAAAAATAGATTTTATTAGATATCTTACATTTCCACAAAATGATTTTAAATCTTTTAAGAGAATATATTAAAACTTGTAAATTCCGGTGTAAGCAGTATGAACAAAATGAAAGCAAGAGTTTTGTTCTAGACAATGGGATATACAAATGTTTCAGCAGTGGTAAAATGCAGACACAGAAAGCTGATTTCAGCGTTTAACAACATACCTTATGTGTTTTAAATCAGTCACTGTTTTTTTAATGTAGATATGCTGAGTTCTTAAGCATTCTAGTGATAACACTACCATCCTCATTCAAAAAAATGTATTATCAGTGAAATACTTCAGACTACAGCATATACAAATTTTTAATTATTCATGTTGCTCTTGTCTTGGCACATGCCTAGTAGTTAATGGTTTGCATCCAGTTTTGTATTAGATAGTCTCTACACACTAGTCCAGAAGTAAAAACTGACATGTTTGGTCTGCAAAGTGTTAAAATGTTTGAATTAAATTTTAAAATATAGTGATTTTAGATAAAAATTCAGATTTCATGTTTCTCTTGAAAAATATGGAAGAACTAGCAACATTGAACAACTGACTTAGGGGCCACTTTTAGAAAGAACAAACATTCTCCAGTTTGAGGAAGTTCCCATCTGGCCCAGTTCATTTATGCATATCTGTGCGCCTCCCATAAGAACTTGAGTTTGGGACATTTGATTTAACCTTATTATAACATTAGAGTAAGAAAATTGGAGGCACATCAGCTAAATGATTTCCTCAGCATGAAAAAGATAATTAGTGGCAGAGTCAGGATTTTAAGATGATTTCACTATCGATACATTGAATATGGACTATAAATCAGAAGACTTAGAATTATGTGCTGGTCCCTTCTACATCTTAATTTCTGTAACATTCAATTTTCATAATTGTAAGTTGAAATTAATAGTAATACTGATACGTGATTATTGCAAAGGTTAAATATTATTTATCATTATTAGATTCATATCTGTAGAGCAATTTTAACCACGTATAACAATACCTTTCTTGTTACAGACGGCATATGTTTAGTTTTTATCTTTCATAGAAAGTAATAACATGTTTTAATGAACTTCTTTTCTGAGTTTAGTATGTATATTGTGATATTATTATTGAGTGTCATTGGTATTTCATAGGTTGATTTGCTTTTTAGTAAGGATAGGAATATTTTTGCATATTAACTTTTTATAGCCTAAAATGATGGTCATTTTTCTCTGTAAGTTATTCATGTGCCAGGCACTGTTTATTTACGTAAATACTTTTTAAAGTGTTAACAAGAAAAATTAAACTTATGCTATGATGTAGTCAAGTAAAATTCTATTTATATATAATATCAGGTTTGATATTTTTTTCTAATGAAATGATTTTGCCAGTAATGAAAAACTTTAAATTAGAAAATGAAGATCTGAGCATCTTTATTGCCATAATAAAACTTAGCTCTCACTGAATGAAAGTGACAATAGCAAAGTAAGAAACACCACTGAATAGTCCCTGACACGTGAAAGGTGCACAAATAGTTTATTATTGTAAATGTTTCTCTGTTTTAAAACTTTTGAGTTTAATTATTGCTTTTAAAGAGTGTTTACCTTAGTTTTATTTTTTCAGAGTACCTTCAAGTTTAAATCTGAGAGTGATATTCATTTGGCAGAACATCATAAACAGGTTTTATATGATGGAAAACTTGCAAGTAGCATTGCCTTTACATATAATGCTAAGGCCACTGATGCTCAACTCTGCCTGGAATCATCACCAAAAGAGAATGCATCAATTTTTGTGCATTCCCCACATGCTCTAATGCTTCAGGTGTGTGAATTGTGGCTTTGTTTTCATGTTCTTGTTAGAATTTGACAGTAACTTTATTTTATATGTCAAACATTGCTCATCTATAAATCTATGATTTTTTGTTTCTTTTTGGCTTTTGCAGATCTTTTAAGTGAAACTTTAAAGAATGTCTCTGTTTTCTGTAGCAACATACTCTACCCTGGCTTTGTCTCCTTAGTAGGAAATCTGCCATATCTATTGTATGTTATATAGCCTTTGAAATTAAATCAATTAGCTGAATACGTTAATTGTTAGATATAAAAACATACTTTGCTTTAAGAATGTATTACTAATATTCTCTAACAATAAAATTACTTGTCTTAAATCCATCAATAGTATTTCTGATTTTAAAATAACGTTTGATTTTAACTTCATATTTTTAGTGAAAAATGTCTCAACCTAAGATTTGAAATTTAAAAGTGATTAGCAAAGGTATTCACTTTTTTGTCTTATATGTATATAGCAATTATAATTGAAGGCTTAAAAATGTCCAACTATGTTATTTAATTCCCTTATAAAGGTACTTGGAACAAGGAAATAGTGATGAAAATCGTTCTATAGAAGTTTAATACACATTTTTGTTTTTGGACATAGGATGTGAAAGCAATAGTAACACATTCAATTCATAGTGCAATTCATTCAATTGGAGGGATTCAAGTGCTTTTTCCACTTTTTGCCCAATTGGATAATCGGCAGCTCAACGACAGTCAAGTAGAAACAACTGTCTGGTAAGTTTTCTTTGCATGTACAATTGCTGATATTTTATACACACTTAGACTATGCATGATATACTCGGTGCTGTATAAATGTATTATGGTATTTGGGTTCTGCCCTTAAAGTACTAATAAAAATTTTTTGGAACTAATGGAGATAGATATTTATACAATAAGTAAAGAAAACCCTGACATTTAGGTTGTTATATCATAAAGGAATGCCTTTCTTGATAATAAATAGAAAATTCTTACCAAAGATAGCATAGTGATTATAATATGTAGTTGAGGGGAAAATATTAATCCTGACCTTATCATTTGCATATACTCATGGATTGAATTGACCATGAAACCCTGTCAGGTTGAAGAAAATTACTAGGGTAAAGTTATTCAAAAGAATAATATTTATTAGCAATTACATAATTTATATCTTAAAAAGTGATACTATTTTATAATGCTTTTGTCATGGCATAAGTCTAGCATAATATTAATTGGCATCATCCCTTATTTATATATAGTTTATGTTTGAGGACTTAAATCTAACCAGTGGCAAATCCATGTTTATGTAAAAATTAAATCTCTTCTAATGAGTGTGATTTCATGTGCATTTTTATAGTTTCTCTTTTATTTAAAAAAAATCATGTGCCAGACTCTAATTTAATGTTATAGCTTAGAATTATACATAAAAGAATTTAAAAATGAATTGTAGTAGTTATTTTGACTATACACATTGCCCTGCTTGGGGATTTTAATGGGCAAGTTATATAGATAAGCATTAATTTTATTCCAAAAGTAACACTATAGTGCTTCATTAGTATATATACATATAGATGAGCTCCTTCATGGGTTATCTAATTTTGAATTGATGGTGAATCTAGAAGGTGTGGGAAAAATTTAAGGTACAATGAAATACTTTTTCTCATAATTATTATCTAAATTACCTATTAACGAAATTCCATTTTAGTATTTCTAATAATGTTATTTCTGTTTTGGGAACAACTTTATGTAAAGTATAAATCTAAATATAGATACGAGATTTGTACATTTATAACATTCACTTCCCATCTATGGGTCTTGCCTTCTTTTATATCAATATAGTGTAAAGGTTGGAGTTTTGAAAGTAAAAAGCTTTGAAGTGAAAAAGAATCCTGAGGTTATGTCCTACTGTGATACTGTTTTGCTTGTAGATCTTAAATAATCTAATTGGAAGGCAGCTCAGCTTAGTGGAAAAATCAAACTTTAAATTTCAGTCCTTTATTTAAATTCAAAATGTTTTGCTATTTATCATCTCAGTGAACTAGGGCACATTATGATCAGTAATTTAAAATCTAGTCAGTAATGTGAAAAGAAGTGGGAGATGAAGTAGCCGCTAGAAAAATCCATGTATAATTTAAATATTTCTTATGAAATAATATGAAATACATATATTATAAAATCTTACTGCTAAAACCATATGTAATAGGTTATCTGGTTCATTCATCCAAGATGCATGTTTATTTTTACCGTCTTTCTTCAAAACTCATTTAATTTTTATATTACATCTTGGTATTTAACTTGTATTTATTTCATCATGGAGATAAAAGATAGTGTGAGGAGTCAGCATACCTATTTTCATTTTGATTTTAGTTCTTTTATATCATTCATCCTAGTATCTCCCTATATCAACTAATTCCAACCTTTTCAGTGATGTCTATTATGTCTTTAGTTTGTTTGTTTATTTATTTATTTGAGATGTAGTCTTGCTCTGTTGCCCAGGCTGGACTGCAGTGGTGCGATCTCTTGGCTCACTGCAACCTCTGCTTCCCAGATTCAAGCAATTCTCTTGCCTCAGCCTCTCGAGTAGCTGGGATTACAGGCGCCTGCCACCATGCCCAGCTAATTTTTGTGTTTTTAGTAGACAGAGTTTCACCATGTTGGCCAGGCTGGTCTTGAACTCCTGACCTCAAGTGAGTCACCTGCCTTGGCCTCCCAAAGTGCTGGGATTACAGGCATGAGCCACTATGCCTGGCCCTGTTTATAGTTTGCCAATAGAAAACATAACAAGAAAGATACCACTCTCCTCTTTAAATATAATACATACTCAATTCCAGGCCACCCTGTGATTTAGTTGTGTGCTATTTTGAATTCTTATCTATTACTTTTTCATTAATTATTTCAGTATCCTAAATATCTGAGATTTGCTCTTTGGTACGGACAGTTGTGTGGATCAGTAATGCAGTCTTTTGTTATTTAATGTTTTATAGGGAACCATTATAGAAAACTATTTGCATTGGTGAAATAGTCTTTGATTTTGCAAGCTGTTAAGTGGGATTTCTCCCTCTATTTGAAAAACACAGATTCATGACTGTGCAGGGGTTATAGAATTTTATGTTTTATGGCTATATCATCAGTTCGTATAGATGATTGGGACCTTGAAAAAGGATTTATCATCTTATTGTTAGTCAATAATAAATTGTTCTAGATCAAGGATAATCAATTTGAAGTTTTTAACTCTTCCAGAAAAAATTTAATATACTCCTTTTTGGAAGTCTGATTGCATAGTAAAGAGATGACTGAAAGTTTCAATACTGTCTAATTTTTAATTGCTTTTTTGAGAAATGGAGCTAAGCTCACATATAAGTTACTTCTCTGCCCTCTGTGTTTCAAGCTGAAGCATTTTATCTTCCACATACTTTTCTCTGCTAAGTAGTGCCTTTTAATGAAAATTTTCAGTGTTTCTTAAGCCTTACCTCTGTTGGCACTACTACACTGTTTTTATCAACTTTGATGAGTTTTTACTTTATATAGGGAATTTAGAATTTTTAAAAATTATTGGCTGGGGATGGTGGCTTACGCCTGTAATCCCAACACTTTGGGAGGCTGAGACCGGTAGATTGCTTGAGTCCAGAATTTTAAGACCAGCCTGGACAACATGACAAAACTCCATCTCTACAAAAAAATAGAAAAAATTAGCCGGGCATGGTGGCATGTGCCTGTAGCCCCAGCTACTGGGGAGGCTGAGGTAGGACGATCACTTGAGCCCAGGAGGTGGAGGTTGCCATCAGCTGTGATCGCACTACTGCTCTTCAGCCTGGGTAACAGAGTGAGACTCTGTATCAAAAAACCACCCCGAATTATTGAAGCAATAATTTCATTTTCTAGAGTCTTCAAAGATGAATTTATTTTTGCTGGATAATTTTTGTGACTTTTTAAATTATGAAGGCCACTTCTTATAGTTATTATATATATGGACATTCAAGTCAGACAAACTTGGGTTCAAGTCTTGAATTTAGTATTTATTACTAGTGCAACTTTGTGTATGTGATTAATTTTTTGAGCATAACTCAAACTCTGAAGTAACATAGCTTTTGTATCTTGTGTCTAGAATGACTCAAGAAATTAAACAGAAACTTTATTTTCCTTTGAATTGGATGATTATGTAGACTGAGTACATATTATTCTTGTTGAGTACGTATTATTGAGTACATACATCTTATTGAATACATATTACTGAGTACATACATCTTATTGAGTACATATTCTTACGTTGAACTATTTTTTTAAGAACATGGGTAATTATGTAGGTGATACAAAATAAAACCTTCCTCATCGTGTGACCTAAGACAGCTTTGCTTTGAAAAAAATTTATGTTTTCTAGAACAAGGTATGAATTGAGTTTTGTATATCAAACAATTAAAAATACACCAAGAGATAGTTTCATTAGAGAGCAATGTGATATATTGCATAAGTGTTCTTTTGGTGGAAGACAAATTTAGACTCAAATCCCTGTCCTGTTTTATAGTGTCTCATGTTAGGTAATGGGATATTCATGGGTTTGTAGTAGTGGTACGTGGCATTTATTGAATACTTACTATGTGCTAGTCACTTTTTTTAAAAAAAAGTTTTATTGTGTATGTTTAAGGTATACAGCATGATGTTATGGGATACAAACAGATAGTAAAAAGGTTACTATAGTGAAGCAAATTAACGTCTGTCATCTCACATAGTTACCTATTTTTGGGGGGAGGGAAGCAGCTAAAACCTACTTATTATGAATCACATACAAAGTATAATTCTGTTACCTACAGTCCTCGTGTTGTGCATTAGATGTACTTGTTCATCCTACATATCTGGTACTTTATTTCCTCTAACCTGCATCTCCCCACTTCCAAGCCCTGCTGCCCTTTCCCCTGATGGCCACTGTTTTGTTTTTTATCTCTGTATATTTGAATTCTGTCAGTCATGCATTTTAATCTAATTATTTGCTGGTGAAGAAGAGAAAAATTGAGTGATTTGTTCAAGATCACAGAGACGTAAGTGGCAGGACCAGGGTCCTAGTCCTGAAAGCCTGACTCTAGAGCCCTTACTCTAAACCACTGTGGACCACTCTGAGAATCACTTTTGCCAGCTGTGGAATGATTTTAATAAGTGCCAACTTTATCTGATTGTAGTATGAATTAAAATAAGACATGCAAAGTATCTGTCATAGCGTCTGGTACATAGTTGGCACTTAATGAGTTCTCTTTTTACTTTTTTCCATGAGTACTAGTCTGTTGGTTAGATACAGCTTCTTAGTTATTAAAACTTATTTTTAATGTTATAAACTATGATAATTTTTATAAAGAAGAAATTTCAAGTGATAAATTATCTTAAGTATATGAATATTTTTCTGGGAAAAGCATTTTTTAAAATTACAATAAATACAGTTTGTTTGCTAAAATGATGGAACGTAAGATATAAAAGTGTTTAGAGAATCCTATAAAGCATTTATGGCAACAGTCCTATCATATGAACAGTCCTCTTGTAATGTGAATATTTATGACTCATTAGTTTGTTTAGTGAACTTATATCACAATTTATTTCTTAATATTATCTTGCTAATTAATCAGTTATTCCAGTAATTACCTTGAATTTTACAGCCACTTTAATAATTAAGCAACATCTTAATAATTAAATATTTCATTCTAATATTCTGATTAGTACTATTGTAATATGTAAAGCAACAGAATTATCTGGAAAATTTAAATATTTCAGTGTCT